ATTTTTAGGCTAGGGGAAAGGAAAAACGCTCCAGAACATTTATGAAGTTTTGGTTAAAAAAAGAAAAGCAAAAGGTTACTGCCACACAGCCCAGAACAAAGACAACAGCTACCGACAGACAGATCGTTTTTCCCTAACTTCATCAAGCACTGGAATTCATTCTTCCAGCGAAGAAAGGAGCTCATTATTCCACACTGTAACCCAAAGAAAAGCTATCTTTGCAAGAAACCGCTGTTGCTTTTCAAAATCACCTCTCACTGCACCGAGAAGTTACCATTCCAGAACTTTTCCAGGTTATAAACTCTGCAGTCCAGGGAATAATGTCCAAAGGGGAAAGCCGCCCCAGAAGATCCGAGAGAGAAATCACAGCCGACTCTCAACGCCGACCACCACCACCCGACCTACCGGAAATCCTGCGGTTCCTCTGCGGCTCGCCCCGCTAGTCATGAGGTGATTCAGTACTGGCCACGACCTCTGTTCAAACGCATCCCGCGGGCTCACCTGGCACACCTGGCGTGCCCATCACCTGCCCGCAGCCGCTGCCATGCGCAGAATTCCGCCCGAAGGCCAAAGAAAGACGCCAACTTTTCAAGACAGGGGCGCGGCAGTCCGCAGAGGAGGGAACCGACTTCTGGCTTGAGGGGCACAGGCGGATTCGTCGGGGACCCCCCCCCAGCTCCGGCAGGACTGGCCCCGGGAACGCCTCGGGGCTCCCCCCCACCCCCACGCGCCAGCGCCCCGGGAGGGAGGAAGCGAGCGCGGGGAACTTAGGCCCCGGCGGGGCGCCCGCGCCGCAAGTTGGACGGCCGCGCGGGGACCCCGCCACGCCTCGGCCCGACGGCGCGGCCCACAGACCCCCGTGCTCGCGGCCCCGCGCGGCGGCTCTCACCTTGGAAACCTGGGGTGGACTTCGCCGTAAACATTAACTTCCCATCCAGCCGGCAGCCGCGCCGCCGCGTCCCCGCGCCTCGGCCCCGCGTTCTCCACACGCGCTGCACTCGCTCAAGGCCGCCTCACCCTCCCCTCTGGGCGCCGCCGCGGTCTCCAGTCCCTGCCAGCCCCTAGTCTGCGCGCCCCTCAGCGCCTTCCAGGGTCCGGCCCGGTCACGTCAGGCAAACCCAAGGCGCAGGCGCAGCAAGGCCTTAAAGAGACCCGGCCGCCTCTACCGCATAATGGGTTCGAGCAGGTTAGGGGCCGGGCGGGTTGGCCGAGAAAAGCAGAAACTGAAGCGATTGGTCCGAGTGGATCTGGAGGGCGTGGCCTTCCCTCTGTCTCCGCCCCCTCCTCGGAGCACCCGCCCTCGGCCCTGCAAATTGCTGACCTCCCCACTCGCTGGGACCGCCCCTTTCCTGTGAACGCGGCGCGCAGAACTCGCCCCCCGCCCCCCCTCTCCCTTGACTCCCTCTCCCCACTTCCCGAATCTCCTGGTACACCGCCGCCCGCCAAGGGACTGCGGGCCTGGCGCGGCCCCGCTGTCCACTTACAGGTCTTCCAGGCTGAGTTTCGTGTGGAGCCCGTGTATGTGCGGTCCAGCCCCGCAACCATCCAAAATATCGGAGAAGAAATTCTTAGAAGGAAAGAACTTAGTCTGGGCCGGGAGCCGGTGGCTCACGCCTGTGATCCTAGCTGCTCAGGAGGCTGAGATCTGAGGTTCAAAGACAGCCCAGGCAGGAAAGTTGCCCCCCTCATCCCACCCCCAGACTCTGATCTCCAGGTAACTACTCAAAAACCGAAAGTGTAGCTGCCGCTCAAGGTGGTAGAGCGCTAGCCTGGAGCAAAAGAACTGAGGAACGACACTCAGGACCTGAGTTCAAGCCCACAACCGACCAAAAAAAAAAAAAAAAGAACTTAGTTTTGGACAGAAACAACCTATTAATACTGGTATTGGAGCCAGATGGACAAAAGTAATAAGAAAGTTAACATAAATTCTTTCCATTATACATCTAGAAATGACAAAAATGATTTTTAAAAATGACGTATTTATCAGCATGCATACAAGAACTCCAAATTTACTTGTGGAGATTAGATGCCCCTGGTTATTTTTCTCAATTAAATGTATAAGAATCTCCAGCAAGGAGATTCAGTCAAAGAAAAACTATTTTTCAGCAATATTAGGAAATAACAAGAAATAGGAACTAAAACCATGTCCTCCACCTAGAAAAAAAAATAACTGAAAACTTAAAGCTAATCTGAGGAAAATTTTTTTTTCTGGTCGTGGGGCTTGAACTCTGGGCCTGGACACTGCCCCTCAGCTCTTCAGCTCAAGGCTAGCACTCTACCACTTGAGCCTCAGTCCCACTTCGGGCTTTTTCTGCTTATGTGGTGCTGAGGATTTGAACCCAGGGCCTCATGAATGCAAGGCAAGCACTCTACGACTGAGCCACCTTCTCAGACCCATGAGGAAATATTTCTACCCAACTTGGTCAGTCTATTACTTACAATTTCTGTTATTGATTTCATTGTAACTTAATGCATCTTGCATAAGAAAGGTTAAAAGAAAACAGTCTACTTCTCATTCAATCTGTAGGCAAGTCCTCTTGATTTTCTTTATTTCTTATCTGCCAGTACTGGGTCTTGAACTCAGGGCCTGGGTGACCTTAGCATTTCCACTCAAGGCTGGCACTATAGCATTTGAGCCATAGCTCTACTTCCAGCTTTTTGTTGCTTAATGGGAAAGAAGAGTTTCACAGAGTTTCCTGCTTGAGCTGGCTTTGAACTGTGATGTTCAGATCTCAACCACCTGAGTAGCTAGGATTCCAGGCATGAGTTACCAGCACTCAGAGCAATCCTCTTGATTTTTATCTGCTAAAGTTTCCTAGACTCAGTCCTCTTGTATCTTCTCCATCACCACTCTACTCAGAACTAGGTTCAGGAATTAGAAGCATGGATCAGGTGGTAGATCACCAGCCAGTGAGAAAAAGCATCAGGTACAGAGTTCAAGTCCTGGTCCTGGACAAAAAAAAAAAAAAAGAACTAGATTCACCTGGGAGGTGAGATGTAAGGACCTTAATCTTTTAAGTAATTTATTACGGCTGGAGGCATGGCTTAGGAATAAGAACCTGCAAGGAGTAAGGCTCTGAGATGAAAGGTCAGAAGAGGGGTGGTTAATTCATTTATCACTATGGTTGTGGGCTTGAACTTAGGGCCTGGGTGCTGTCCCTGAGCTCTTCTGCTCAAGATTAGCACTCTACCACTTTGAGATATGATGCCACTTCCTGTTTGGGGGTAGTTAATTGGAGATAAGTCTCACAGACTTTCCTGACTGGGCTGGCTTTGAACTACAATCCCCAAATCTCAGCCTCCTGAGTAGCCACCAGTGCCTGGCCCTCTAATCCATCTCTAAGTCTCTCCACTCACCAAGCAGTAACTTTCTAAAATTACTGGACAATGTTACCATGCCATTTTCCAACAACTTCTCATCTCAATACGTCTGTACTTTTCATAGGTTTCACTTTGCTTTTGTCTGTTTTGTTGGGGAGGGTGGTTGGGGTTTTTTGTTTGTTTTTAGCTTCTCCTCTTAGTTTTAGAAGGGTTTATGGAGGGAAGGAAGTGTGTGTGTGTGTGTGTGTGTGTGTGTGTGTGTGAGTGAACTGGGATTTGAACTCAGGTTCTTGTGCCTTCTAGGTAAGTGCTCCCTGTTTTGTGCCATGTCCCTAACCCTTCCCATTCTCTTAGATAAAGCTTTCTTTTTTTCTTTTCTCTTTTTTTTTTTTTTTTGTTGGCTGTGGGGCTTGAACTCTGGGCCTGGGCGCTGTTCCTCAGCTCTTCAGCTCAAAGTGAGCACTCTACCACTTGAGCCACAGCTCCACTTTTGGTTTTCTGGTGGTTTATTGGAGATAAGAGTCTCAGACTAGCCGGGCGCCCGTGGCTCACGCCTGTAATCCTAGCTACTCAGGAGGCTGAGATCTGAGGACCGTGGTTCAAAGCCAGCCCGGGCAGGAGAGACCGTGAGACTCCTATCTCCAATAAACCACCAGAAAACCGGAAGTGGAACTGTGGCTTAAGTGGTAGAGTGCTCACTTTGAGCTGAAGAGCTGAGGAACAGCGCCCAGGCCCAGAGTTCAAGCCCCACGACCGACAAAAAACAAAAAAAAAAGAGTCTCAGACTTTCCTGCTCAGGCTGGCTTTGAATTGCAATCCTCAGATCTCAGCCTCTTGAGTATAGAGTAGCTAGGATTAGAGGTACCAGCCCTGGTGCCTGGCTTAGATAAAACTTTCTAGTGGGGCTGGGAAGGTGGCTCAGTGGTAGAGCGCTTGCCTTGCATGCCTGAGGCCCTGGGTTCAATTCCTCAGCACCACAAGCAAAAAGAAAAAAGCCAGGCCGAGCGCTAGTGGCTCACACCTGTAATCCTAGCTACTCAGGAGGCTGAGATCTGAGGATCGCGGTTCAAAGCCAGCCCGGGCAGGAAAGACCGTGAGACTCCTATCTCCACTAAACCACCAGAAAACCGGAAGTGGCGCCATAGCTCAAGTGGTAGAGCGCTCGCCTTGAGCTGAAGAACTGAGGGACAGCGCCCAGGCCCAGAGTTCAAGCCCAACGGCAGACCAAAAAAAAGAAAAAAGCCAGAAGTGGCACTGTGGCTCAAGTGGTAGAGCGCTAGCGTTGAGCTGAAGAGCTGAGGAACAGCACCCAGGCCCAGAGTTCAGGCCCATGACCGGATCCCCCAAAATAAATAAATAAAACTTTCTAGGCAAGCTGCACATGGGTTAGGACTCTGTCCACTACTCCATCACTTTTCACTGCTCATACCACAGTCCATCCTGCTCCCTCTGTTCCAGCCACACTGGCTTGTTATCTTCCCTTCCTCTCTCCTGTTTACCAGCTTCCTCCATCCAGAGTTTGCTCAAACTTTGTTCTGTGCCTGGGGAGTTCTTCCAACCCTTATCTTCCTGACTTCAGCCTCAGTCTCTACCTCTGAGGAGTACCTTCTGCCTCCCTGCTGTCACTCTGCAGGAAACTGTAAATGTAGGGCTATTTTGTGAGTTCTTATTTCTCCTACTAGACAGCCCCATAAGACCAGACACTTGGTTTTGTTTCAGTCACAGTTCTGTTTTCACATTTGTTCAATGAAAAAGAATCATGGGTATTAGAATTTATATCAGATTTGCCTAAAAGGTTTTCTGAGTCACAAATGTCACAATTTGACATTTGAAATCACTCTAGAAAAAAAATTTAGTTATTTTTATGCTGATTCTATATTGCATTAGTTGGTCTATCAAAAGACTTTTTGGAAGCTGGCCTACAGTAGCTCACACCTATAATCCTAGCTACTCATGAGGCTGAGATCTGAGAATTATGGTTTGAAGCCAACTGGAGCAGACAAACCTGAGAGACTCTTATCTCCAATTAACAGCAAAAAGCCAGAAATGGAGGTGTACCTCAAGTGGTAGAGCACCAACCTTGAGTGAAAAAGCCACAAGAGTGTCAAGACCTAAACTAAAACCCAGGACTGGCACCAAAATAAATAGAGTCTTCAGATAACCTTTAAGAAGGATAAAAAGAGTACCTAACCTTAATTCACTACTAAAACTGCAAGAAGTAAACATAAGAAAAAACACTTTGAGATATAGAAATAGCCAAAAGCTTTCTAAATAGAACTCCATTAGCTCAGGTGTTAATAGCAAGTGATTCCATGCATCAAATTGAAAAGTTTCAGTGATCAAGAGTGAAGAGACACTCTATAACATGTGAGGAAATATGTGCAGGTCATTCCTCTGATAGGGATTAATATCTAGAATATGGAAAGCACTCAAAAATTAAACACCAAAAGAACAAATAACTCTCTCTATCAATGGCTAGGTGAACAGATAGTTCTCAAAAGAAGAAGTACAAATGGCTAATAGATATATAAAAATACTCAACATCCTTAGCATTCTGGGAACTAAAAATACACTGAGATTCCATCTCACCCCAGTCAGAATAGCTATATAGAAGCAACAACAACAAATGCTGACACAGATGGAGTGGAACATTATACACTGTTGATAGGAATGTAAATTATTACAGCCACTATGGAAAACAGAATGGAGATGCTTCAAAAAACTAAAAATAGAAGTACCATATGATCTATCTATAGCACTCCTGGGCATATACCAAAGGAATCTAAGTCTGCACATAA